AAAAAAAAAAAAAAAGTGATGTCTACATGTACTAACTCCTTATGGTGAATATATTCATTATATCACAAACATGTACTAATAAAAAATAATTTTAAAAAGAGATGAGCAGGTCAGGGGTCCAACTGCAAAAGTAGAGAAAACCTCAGAAGCATGGCTCCCTATCTTCACATTTCTTCAGGGACAGTGTAAATCTAAGAAACCCATTCAACCCAGCTATTCCCCTGCTGGCTATCTTCCCCAAAGCATTAAAAGAATCATACTACAGCAATATATGTGCACCCATGTTTATAGCGGCACAGTTCATAATAGCTAAAGTTTGGAAACAGCCCAAGTGCCCATCAACTGGAAACTGGATAAAAAAGATGTGGTTTTTTAATAAAATGGCTACTACTCAGCCATAAAGAATGAGAAACTAGAGACATTTATAGCTAAATGGATGCACATTGAGGCCATCCTCTTAAGTGAAATAAATAGGACACACATGTGTAAATACCGAATAGTTTGTCTAGTGTGAGATACTGAGAGTGTAATTAAGGATACACATGGATGAAATGGCCTAATAACATATTTCGTAGATTGTGTTTACATCATGGGTCATATGACTGTATCAAAATTTAAATTAGGGAGAAGCTTGGCTTATGTGGAGTCTGCTACCAACCGGAGATTTTTTCCAGACCACTGTTTGTTCAGTGTTGATTTTGGGGATCTTTCTGAAAGAAATCACATCCTCTGGTGTCTTGTTGGTGCTTGAGATGCTTTTTTAAGTTATATGGAAAAATGTTTAAGTGCTTTTCAGTTTTGCTTTGGTTGAGTTCCATTGTATTTGAATATTATTGTAGTTTTTTTCCCTTGCATTGTTCTTCTTTGGTTTTAATTTTTGCATGTGTGTGTGTTTGATAATAAAGTTATTTTAATTAAAAAAAAAACCTAAGGAACCAGCCATTTAGCCAGGAAGGACTAAGTCAAGGCTCAAAAGTGTGCCAAGAGGAGATTTCCAAGGATGGAAAAGCCAGTGTCCAGCGATGGTGAGAGCCCCTCACTGTTGATGCATAATTAGCAGCTGGACCATGTCCCAAACCTTAGAGGATGCCACTGAGTCCTTCAGGAGAACTCCTTTCCATACATATGTTATATTTTTTCTTTTTCATTGCTTTATTTTATGAAAAAATAAAACAAATTTTCATTATCAAATAATAAGAGAATAGCAATAGTTATATACCATGTATCATCATCTTCAAAGTACTCAGTACAAGATATAAACCAAAAGATTCTTGCAAAAAAGAAATAATCAGACAATAACACAAACTTTCTTTTCAATGAACAAAAATAACTTAAAACAGTCTGTGAGGAAGTTGCCACACCCAAACTTTGGACACAAATGAAGATACAACAGTCCCTTCAACTGAAGTTGACAGTAATTTTGGGCTACTGTCAGACTCCCCTTACCTTATAGACAAATCCCTCTGGGCAGCTGTGGTCATAGGTGAAGGCTTTGTAAACCACCAGGAACACAATGCAGGCAAGGAAAGCGAGGGCCAGGCTGACGAGGATTGTGACCTGGGAAAAGATAAAATTGAAAGTCATTCAGCCTCAGAGCACCCACTTTTAGTCCATATGTGCAGCCTTCAAAACCTAGAGTTTGTAGACAGTGTGGTATATAGGGTATTGGAAAGAGCAGAGGGCCAGGGATCCAGTGGACAGGCTCTGTATTGACTTTATCACTTACTTTCAGTGTGACTGCAGTCTTTGGGGCTTAGTTTCCCCATTCAATAAGGTAATCTGTGACTTTTTTCTTGACCCAACAACATATGATTTCCCCACTTGTTTTATTTTTCCTGTTAACAGTATGTATATGGGGGAAGGGCTAATTAAAGCTATCACTTCCTTTTCTTCCTGCCTTCCATCACCACCACATCACCACTGCTGAAATCCAACTTCAGGCATCAGCTGCTGGTTTCTCCTCCATTTGAACATTGAGTAAACACTTGAACACATCGCTCAAACCACTGTTCTCCTCCCACTCCAAACTTGCTCCACTTGCATCCTTCTGCATGACAGGAAACATGGACTCCACCTTTGGGGTGTTTAGGCCAAAAACCTTGAGATCATCCCCAACTCACTCTCTCTCCCACATTGTATATCCAGTCTATCAGCAGAACTTATCATCTCTGCCTTCAAGGACATCCAGAATTTGGCCACTTCTTACCACTTCAGTCATTCCCAAGATGGCCCAAGTTATCATTCTCTCTCAGCCGCAGTATCAAAACCACCTTTAACTAGCAGCTTCTTCACACTCTGGTGTATTTGACACATAGAAACCAAAAAAAAAAAAAAAAAAAGAAAAAAGAAAAAAAGAAAAAGAAACCAGAGAGATATTTGGAAATCTAAGTCAAGGATCAAAAGTGTGCAGTAGTCTCCAACACACTCAGAGTAAAAACTCAGCTCCTGATTGTTATCTATCTTTAAAAATAAGCAGTTTAAAAAAAACATGCCAAACTGGGGGCACCATCAGGGTTTATCAGAAAGGAATAAACAGCTAATATTAGAGATGCCTCCAGGTTTCTATTGGGCCCATCCCATTACCTGTATACAGAAGACAAAGGTGAGCCCCATTCTATTTGGGCCATAAGCAGAATTATTACCTGTGTTACTTTTTAAAGCTGTTAGTCCTTTATGTCAGTTGATCTAGAAATATGACAGAATCCTTTTCATGGAGAGAAGGTTTCTTTTGACTTAGAAGAAAAATAAAATCAATCTTGAGGGGCCATACCATATCTCCTTCCCAACCCAAGGCATGTTGATAAGGATAGGAGATGATAGGGTTCTTTAATATTCAAAAAAAAATGCAGTTGCTTATTGGAAGCTTTAAATATTGGATGGGAGGGATTTGAAAAAGAAAGGAGGAAGATGGATAAGGGAGGGAGCACAGTCCGTGAGAAATTCCCACATATGTGTGTATGAAGCCTTAGGACAATTTTAAGCTATTGTTGACACTGTGCTGTCCACATCCTCCCGTCCACTGTTACCCTAAGCCCTTGGTTGAAACCTGTTGCACACACAGAAGCATCCTGCCAAGGACTGGGGTGATGACAGTGTAGGGTAGGATGATGATCAGACCAGAGTAACCCAGGCAGCTAATATGTGGAGCTAAGATGAGTAAGTCCATAGAAGCTGAATCTGGACCAAGAGATTCCCCCAGGACACTTCACTGTTTTAGAACTTCCACCAAGGGTTGAATTTGAATAGCATAGGAAAGGAGTATAGTGAAACTACTACCCAATAATACTAAGGACTCAGGCACTGTAAAGAAACAGATATTGGAATGTAGATGTAAAGAAACTAAAATATGCCCACATTTTCCAGTAATCAAAAGGCAGACACATCCTAAAAGTCCATCATCTGATGAATGGACAACCAAATTGTGGTATAGTCAACCCTCCACATCTATGGATTATACATCTACTGATTCAATCCAATACCCCCATGGATTCAATCAACTGGAGATCAAAAATATTAGAAAAAAAATAAATTCCTTCTGTATTGAACATGTAGAGACTTTTTTGTCTCATTACTCCCTAACAATAGAGTGACACTTATTTTATAACATTTAAAATGGATTATAAAGAATATAGAGATGATTTAAAATACATAGATATAGATAGGATATACATAGGTCATATGCAAATACTATGCCATTTTTTATAAAGTATTCAAATATCTGAGATTCCCCAGAGATCTTGAGGTAGGGCTGTGTATCTACTGAGTGGAATATTATTCAGTCATAAAAGGGAATGAAGTACATACTGCAAATGCAGATGGACCTCAAAGCCACTATGCTAACTGAAAAAAAAGCTAGATACAAAAGGACACAGAGTATGTAATTTCATTTGTGTAAAATATCCTGAATAGATAAATCTGTAGAGAAAACAGATGGCTAATTGCCAAAGACTAAGGGTAGTAGAAAATGTGCAATGACAGCCAATGGATACCAGGTTTCCTTTTGCAGTGGTGAAAATATTTTGGAATTAGATTTAGGTGATGATTGCACAACACTGTGAATGTGCTAAATGCCACTGAATTGTTCACTTTAAAGTGATTAATTTTAGAGTATGTGAATTTTAACGCAAGTTTTAAAAATAAATGCAGCAACCTGGTACCCACAGTTCTGCCTCCGGGTGGGAAAACTTGTTCCCAAGTGGTGACTTTGGCAAAGGGACATTAAAATGCCACAATCACACCTCACAGAGAGTATTACTTAGGCCCAGCCAAGAGGGTTGCCCTCAATGCCAGGATACAGACACAATCATAGGCACACTCATGTCAACAATGCAGCTACAGACCTCATGCATGATAAGGAGGGAGCAGAGAGCTGCAGCCCCATTGCGCTGTCACCAGCAGCCTAATGCAAAGTGTTAGGGAGCTCCTGGAAAGTATCCCATCCTAATGGCCATTCCCAATCCTAATCTCTGACTGAGCAGAGCCCCAGACCTCTTGGAAAACTAAGAAACAGGGCAACATGTGCAAGCACAGGTACAGGTGCATGCATTCAGCATGGATGCTCCCTGGCCAGCATCAGGTTAATGAAGAAGAATAAGTAGTCCCATCCCTGGGACAGGTTCCCTCACAAAGGTGGCCTTTACCATTCCTAACAGTTCCTGAATTAACAACCTCCACCTAGAAGGAGTAGATCTGATTCATCAAAGTGTCACCAGGGCTTGACAGTGTGAGCAGAGAGGAAGCCTTCAGCAAATACTACTGGGAAAATAAAAGGTGAGAAGAGAAGAACGGAGGGAAAGATGAAGGGAGATCCTCTATAAGTACAGTGGTTTCAATTCCTATTTCACATTAGAAGCATCTAAAGTACCTTCTAATGCTGGGGTATAGGTTGCCATCACTCCCATGGATTCTAATGTAATGGGCCAGGAATGGGTGGACATGGGCATTATTGTAAATGTTCCAAGTGATTATAACGTGCAACAGGGAAGAGATCCACTCCCCTAGTATGAGTGGCTCTCAAGCTGACTACATATTGTAGGATCAACTGGGCAGCATTTTAAATAATCCTGATGCTCTGGCTCCATCCTGACCAATGACATCAGAATCGGGGCCGTGGGGGGGGGCATGGCTCTGAGGCATTTGGAAGCCCCAAGGTGGATCCCTACTGCAGACAGGGTGGAATGATCACTGTGAGTAGACACTGGACAAGGTGGCCCCTATGACAGTCACCATGAAGGATCTAATGCTGAGTGGATGGACGCTGGATGGTATGGGGCTACAACCCCTTCCATGTATGGGATTCTGCCCAAGCAAAACTAACCTATGCCAGGTGGAATCACATGTTCCATGTCCCTGGAATTAGCATGGTGGAGGTTGTTTTGATGGAAGAAAAGTTTGCTTCCCTTCCTAAATGTTGATAACTTCTACTACTCAGGCCAATCATTCCCTAAGAGCTAGGGAGGCGAGAGGGTGCACTGTGGTGAACCAGGCATAGCCCCACCTGAGACTCACAGTCTACAGGATGTGGCAGCGGTAGACAAAAGGACATGGGAATTGGTAGCATAAGGGCTGATATCATAACTGAGGCAATCTCCAAAGGGGATCCTAAACCTAACCAGCCTGGGGGTGGAGGACCAGGGAAGGCCTCCTGGTAATGTGACACCAGAAGTGACTTCATGGGCACACACTAGAAAATGAGAGGCAGAAACCTCTGGCAGAGGAAAGTGCCTCTGCCATGGAACAGAAGCTGCAGAGAACATGGACTGTTCTAGAAGCAACATAGGGTTTGGCTGAGAGGGTGCAAGTGAGGGAGAGGACTCAGGGGCTGGAGAGGAAAGAAAAAGAATGGATTAAAATTTAAACTTTACCTCAAGGATAGCAGGGATCCACTGAATGTTTGAAGGAAGGGAGTGGCAAGACCTAAATTAGGTGTGTCAAAAGAATGTCTCCTGGAGGCACCATGGAGGTAGCTTGGGATAGGGGATAAGACTGGAATCAGGGAGGCTATTGGCAAGGTTGATGCATTAAAACAAGCTCCAAAGGCTGAAGTCAGACTTGTGCAGTGGAGTGGAAAGAGGTAATGATGTGAGGAAGCCTAGGAGGAGAGCACTGTGCTGTGAGATAGGAGGAAGGGACTGACTCATAGGAGGAATGTGGGTTTTTGAACTGGGACTGAATTCTAAGGATTACATCTCCATTGATCTTTGGAGTGGAGTGAGGAGCTGAAGATTTCTCATTTGGCTCAAGGGGGGATTTCCTGCAGGCCATTTCAGTGGGGTACACTGCACACCTGGTTACCCAGAACTTACCTCTCCTTTCTGGAAGATTTGTGAAATTCAGAGCCCCACATGCCTGATGGTGCCGCAAAGCTCCTGGACACAGAGGGTCAGGGAGGAAATTCCCACTTCCCCCAAGTCCCTCAGAACATGAAAGCCAGATTCCACATCAACATTTATGGATTCTATTTACATAACCTTGCTCCTCAGAGACCCTCAAAAGGCCTTGGCTTCACCTCTTGAATTTAACAACTTGGGACTAGCAATAAACAGCCTGTTAGTTTT